TCTCATGGTTCCTTATAGTGGACTTTACACTCATGAGCATGCGATAGCCATGATTTGCCTATTGGTGTCCTCTACCTTTTAAATTTCAAGTGTCCCCAAAATTTCTCGGAAGATGCCCTTAACCATTTAACACTGCAGCACTCAGGTGATCTAATACCATTGCAATTACATGCCCTTTGAATGTCTCCAAAGACAATCCTTTGGTATAGGGTCGCCACTATCTCACTAGAGGGGATATAGTCAACTTTCATTTCACCCTTCTCCACTATATAATAAATATAGTAATAACTTATGTCAATGTTTAAGAGATGGACGACTTATTGTCACAAAATACATTGACCGGCCTAATAGATATGACATACTTTAAACAAAGCGTTTGGCCTCCGTTGTGTCATTTGCCACAACTCGTACTTCTTGCATAACCAAGAAACAAACATTCCACAAATAAGATTACAAGGCTACATGTAGATATTCAACCCTAAATAATTTGATCCAAAACATAATTCATACCTTATTTGCCTATTTGAATATTTTGTTCACTGTCTAACAATATGCCCTGCCTGAATTGAACTTGTATACACTTGTCAATCCTACCTCATGACTAAAATCGAACTTGATTCTCGTCATAGGATACATGAAGCTAAACTGCTGCGTGGGCATAGGGGACAATCATCATTTCTCATATTTCCTTGATCCAAATAAATAGTCTTGAATTTCTATCACAAGAAATTCATATCACTGGGACATAATTAGCCTTACTATGTCTTCCTTTTCAAATTTGGATCCTTATTATGCTTTTGCTTCTTTTTTCTTATTCAGTTAATTTCATGCCAATAAAATATCAAGCTACGTTGAGTAATAAAATAATGCGTTTGTCATGGCATCTCCAAATATGTACACAATGATCAAAATCACTTATTATCCTACTCCAAGGATTCTTTGGTGGAATTCTAAATATCACTGTCTAACTCATCTTTTGAGTCCATACAAAAATCTTTTCAATTTATAGACTTTGTACTCATGTTTTCGAACTTGAAAACCATCAGGTTATTCCATTTGGATGTCTTACATAAGTTCTCCATTATGGAAGGCCTTTTTAACATCTAACATATGTAGGGAAAGATCCATTTTAGCTACTATTGACATGACTATCTAGATAGAAGTAAGGTTCGATATAAGGAAATATGTCAAAGTATATCCTGAGTTTTTGGGTAAACCCATCAATCACCAATCTCGTTTTCTAGATTTTCATTTTCTTTTAACCTTTTCAGAATGACCCACTAGTAAACAATGATTTTTCTTTGTTTGTGAATAAAGTTTTTTTTTCACATGTTAAGAATAGTAGGAGAAAAAATAGACTACCATCATAAAAATTATAGGACATAATGCAAATTAATGGTGTCAATCTATTAGAGATGGGCTTGATTAAATTAAATAAAAACCAACATCCTTGCTTTCAACGAATCCTATTCCCAAATGAAAATTTTTAGTCACTTCCATTCTTTACACATCATATAAACTTAGATTACAAATGTTAAGTACTCAACTTATTCCATAGTCATTGCAATAAGAACATATGTCTTGTACCCGTAAACTCTAAAATTTGATATGTTTGGTTTCAATCAAGTCCAACATATATAAATGTTTATTGGTCTTGCATTAATCTCGACTCTATTTAAATTATAAACTATTGTCAACAAGGTCTCTTTGTCAAAAATGAAGATTTGCATATATACTCATAGAACTAGTCATGCCCAAGAGAGTCTTATTTCATCTATCCGCAAAACCATTTTACTCGATCGCATACAAGACATCCTTGAGTACTAACCACTCGATAATTTAAAATTTTCAAGCAAATGTAAAATTAAAATCAACATAAATAGTAATACTAATACCATAGCAAAATTAATTAGAGCACTCACAATCAACAAATGTACAATCCTGCTCATACACCCGATTCAAGTATCCTCGTAATTAGACTTTCTCAAAGTCTCATGTCAGATCATTGTCATCCCGTTGCCAAGTATACCAAAATGTTTTCCATAACTTCGTAAGAACTCTTAAAAGAAGAAGGATGCAGTGAGCGAGCCTGTTAAGCTGCAATTGAACTTGAGTCTTTACAAAAGGGGACGAGCTCTCATAATCAATCGCTCATATGTCCCTTCTGTTCTGGCTAGCTAAGTAGGGGTTGAGCTTTCTGATACAATTGCTTGCTTGCCGGTGTATAGGGTGCTCTGGCTAATATAACTATCTTACTTCCTCCTGAGACTCTCGTTCTCTGGGTGAGCACTCGCTGAAAATTTCATCTTGTTGGAATGCTGAGATTTTGTTTTTCAAGTCTTGATATCATTACCTTGATTAACGGAGTGCATTGACTTTGAACGAATGAATTGAATTCTAAATCCACATCTTCTGGTCTCAGAAGGTTGGTGGATGTATTGGATGAAATGAGACAATGCTAATTGCCCTCAAGCAAAATGACACCCTTTTTCTTTCGGTTTTTTTTTTTTTAATGCTTTCTAGAGAATATCATCAGGTTGGCCAAACCAATACCACAATACCCACGTCATCAAAATATCAAAGAACAAGCTGTCACCAGATCATATCATTCAAAAGCCACTTTTTTCATTCTCATTCATTGTGTCGGTGGCAATATCACTTGGACGAAGTGACACCGCTTGTCTTTATATGTGCGAACCCTTTGGCTCTTTGGTGAAACACGGCTGCATTGTTTGATGCAAAACAAAGTCATGCTGCCACTTCGTAACACGACGTCGCACGGCCTCATCTTCTTCAAGTTGAATCAAAACGTCATTGACTATAACAATGACCAACAATTCAATGTTCCGGGGATTGTCCTCTTCCGATGAGCCTCCAGTCTCTACGATTCTTCCTTATTTGTCATTTTTGCCAGAATAATCCTTGAACAATTCCTCTCCACTCGATTGTGTTAAAAATGAAAAATCTCCCACTGTTTAAATGCAAAATTTTTCGATGAAACTCTAGACCACAAAATCTTTTGCTTTGAAATCACAATTAGTCCTAGATGGATGAAATAATATTGGCGGTAATCTGTCGTTAGACTGGGAATCACAAGCAATCCTAGAAGAAAAATCCAATTGATGCAACCACCGAAAGAAATCAATATAGGGTGAGTAACAAGTCGATACAATCCTTAAGACCCTCATTTACTAGTATTTATAGACCCAATAAACTCAATCAGATGAATAGACACACCCTGTGAAAAAATTGTAACTGCTGACACAATCACAATTATTCCATGAATTGTGTTGATAGAATCACAACTATTTCAAGGGTTGTGTTGATTCATATTCAAACCACCTATAGTTCTCTATATATATAATCTTTCTCCTCATGCATGAGAAAATTACCGTCAATCATAGTATCCATTCAAGTGTGATCACCCAATTCATGGTCAACAGATTTAAATTATTTGTCCTACATCTCTTTCAAAATTTGTTGTTGTTCCTCCTCCTCCTCCTCTCCTCTCTCTCTCTCTCTCTCTCTCTCTCTCTCTCTTTCTCTCTCACTCACACACACACACGCCCATTGTGTATGTGGAATTCGGACAAGCTAATGTATTATTCAATGGAGAAAGTTAGAAATATAACAAAATGAAGCAACACATTTCATTCTTGTTTTTTCAGATATGAAGATACATATTGATAATGGTCGAAGATAGTTAGCACAAATCCAAAATAATGTTTAATAATGATAAGGGGAGGGATAGTTTAAATCTTCTAAGCTGACAGAGTCAAAGATAATATATAAGTGGTTCACCCCAATGAAAAGACTAAGGCTATGTCCACTATAATGGAGGATCTTGCTTCTTAAGATTTGTATTGCTTGAAGAAGGAGGTTACAGTAATTTTCTTAGCTTTAAATCAGTATAAACAGTGTCTCGTGAGTACAAGTTTTTCAATTATCTCCCCCTTTTACAATGTGAGGGTATTATATATACAAGTAATCATCTAGGATTTTGGCGATTTTCTTCAACCCTCAATTGATTCTATGGTCCCCTTCTTTTTGTTATGTAATGATGACCGTTATTCTGACACAAATCATCTCCACGATCTTTTAACATATTGCACACAAATATTCCATTTCCCATTGAATATGCTTTTGTTAGTGGCTCCAAAAATTGTTCCCTTGTCCCCTAAACACGTGGTGTGATGGAAGGCGTTCAGGATCTAATGAATACCGGGTTCCCTGATCCCGAACTTGGTACTGCTGAACTTGTCATGATCAAGCAAAACTCTGCCGACCTGGGCTCTGTTGGATTTTCTTCTTTGGATTACAGCCCATTCTTATTGCGCAGGAGATGTAATACGGAAAGGTCACTTAGGTTGTCATGTAACCATTGGATGCTTTGGGTTTTTTATGGGCAGCCCACGCCAAAATGCTATCATTATCACATCATTTTCCAGTGCAATGGAGATAACGTATTTATCATTCAAACATTACCATGTAGCCACTAAACCCAAAATCCCATATGCTCATTCGTTGTATTGTTTTGTTTAAAATCCAAACCAAAATGAAACTGAAAGCAACCGAAAAAAAAAAAGTTGGTAGGGAAATGACAGTAACAATCAAATTAAGCAAGTTACAATACAAACATTTCAGTAGCAATGTAGAAGATGAGAAAGGGGAATCACACCACTAACTTCCGATACAAGGCCAGGGAGATGATAGTGGCAAAACATTAGGATGGTACATTCTGCTGTAAACTGAAACAAAAATATAAACAAGAAAAAGGGGAGAAGAAAAAGAAAGAATCCAAATAAACCAAGCAACACCACATCGACAAAATATACAAGGACCTCAAAGACGGGAGCAATGACAAGGAAGGGTGAAAGAATATGGAAATAGTGTTTTCTCTGTGTACACAAATGCTCTACATTTCCCACTGCCACGAGTCAAAACGTAGGATGGAAGCACCCATAAAACATTCAAATGAGTCTTAGGTGGCACTGCAGCTATCATTTGTTACTACTAGGTGAACGACCAATAAGCCTGCACTGATCAGGAAGTAAGGAAGAGATTACTTGCCCAGTGACAGGAAAAAGTTCACCATCAATCCCACAACCACTCTGTGTGCGTTTTCCAGGCTTAATCTTCACAGACTTGACCTGCGTGCAAAGAGAAAGTTGAGTTGCACATTGTTACCATAACTCGTTGCAGTTCCAGTGTGTAAAGATACATGAAGCGCTACATCGCATGCATACAGGCAATGAGCTCCATACCCACCACAGATCTATGCACTACAAAGCTCTACATTAGGCTATAAAATTTACGAACATTATTTCAGTCCTTGGCCAATTTTTCGTTTTCTTTTTTCTGGTACGTTGGTCTTGATATTTTTATGTGCTGCTATTCCACATTAGAACAATTTATTCTTCCCAGTGTGCAGAATCCTGGGTTTCCCAACTAATATTCTTTGTACCTTACCAAGTGTAAAAACATAACGAGGTAAATGCTTAAGATGGTAAATAAAGAAGGGTTGCTGATACCTTGACATATTCGACATACGGCAGCGAAAGGTGTCGACCCATTTGCAGAAGCAAGAAAAACCTCAACAGCCTCAATCGTCCAGTTCCATGAACCAACAACAAATCCAAGGTGTTGTCATCATGCTCAGCTTTTGGAGCTACCACCTGAGAACTCAAACTCTGAACAGTTTTGCATGCATGGTTGCACACCAAAACACCAAGAAATTGACCTTTTGCAACCACCCAATTCTCTTCAGATCTAGGCACTAGTTCCTTCCTTGCAGCAGCTTCAACATCATCTGATGGCCCTGGCAATTCTATAGGATTTTCCAAGTCCAAGTTAGGCTCAACATCCCATCTTGGTTCAGTATCCCAAATCGGACCTGGATCTGACATTGTTGATGAAATATCCTCTTTATCATTTGTTGCTGTATTTCCCCAAGAACACCTAGTTGAGTCATTTGTGGCAGTTGATCCAGACCATCCTTTGTCTGTCCTTGATTTAGACCTGGTCCTCGGCCAGTTAGGAGTTGCTGAAAGTGGTAGCTGAGGATGGATAACTTCTGGTTCTTCGGTGATATTGCTTCTCCCGGAAGATAGGCGTTTGGATTTTGGATCTATGCCACGTACATATTCTGATGGCTCGTTGCTACTAGAGTTTGTATCCAAGTCCACACCAGATATTTGACTTGGGGTCATAATTGAGTCAATACTTGATAGGCTAGAAGCTCTAGGAAGGCCATCCGTGTTTGATCTCCTCATAATGTCTGTGTACAGATCAGACATATCAATTATCTCCCTATCAGATTGGGCATTTCCTTCTCGATCAACTCCCATTTTGGATGCTGGAAGGTATTCCACTTCAAAATGAAACTTTGGTAAGCATAAGAATTTGAGGAAACCAGCAACAAAATAACGGAGAGGACCAAAGCGCTTTTGATATCTCTCAGAAAGTTCCAGCACTGCAACAGATGGAGACAATGGACGCTGATCAACAGTTGATACTTCACAATTGACAAAGATTAATAGGCAAATAAATTGATATGAAATACCTTCATCAAACTACTTTAACTTGGCAATTATGTTGTGGGCTTGAATTTAAGTGCAAACAATGCCAACAATTAAGTTTGTACTTGGTTCACACCTCACAACTATCTCAATTAATGGCAACCACACGGGGTGTTATGGCCTTCACATATGTTTCTTCCTTTTTTTTTTTTTGACAAGAAACATATTTTTTATTGATACAAAAAATATTACATAAGGCTAAGTTGGACAAGAGATCAAACCTCAATGAAACAAATTACAAGGCGGTAAAAGAGAACCACATTTGGACAGACTATCAAATATGGCTATCTATATAAATCACAAACAGCCCTACATCCACCTGAGATACAAAATAGTGGGATACCTTCAAAATAGTTCGTGACTAAGGTCCACAAGGATGCCAAGAAAAGGATACGGTTCCATAAACCATCAACCACCTCGCTTCGATCTTAAAAAATTTGAGCATTTCTTTCTCTCCAACCAAATAACCCATACCATAGCAAGCATTTTGCAACTCAATAGTGTGACTCCTTAATTATGATTCCCAAAGCCCTAAAAATCCTCAGCAAACATTGAAGAAAAAGACCAAAGAATTACCCAACCCAAACTTGTCAATGAAAATAACCTATTCCACAAACTGAAAGCTATAGGACAATGCAAAAAAAAATGATCAACGCTTTCACTATCACCATGACACATAATACGACACTGGAAAAGGACAAATTTGAGGTCTTCTCCTTTGAAGCATATCATTAGTATTAATCTTACATTGTCCAATAGTCCATGCACAGACCTTCACCTTAATTGATACTTTAGCCTTCCAAATCATAAAAGAGGGAATAAAAACAGAACAAGAAGGATCATCAATTAAAGACTCAAATAATGATTTACACGAGAAACACCCTGAACACTAAAGCCTCCATCTTCTTTTATCAAGAAACTCTTGATCTATATGAACATCATTTAGTAAGGAAAGAAGAGAAACTAAATCAATAATTTCTCTATTATTTAAAAACCTACGAAACCCAAGATCCCAAAGATAACGAATTCGAACTCGATTGGATCAAAGAAATAATATACATATTGTGAACCTGAGATATCCCACTTTTTCAATGCTTGTGTCCCAAAAAGTCAAGAATAATGGATTCCCACCAAAAGGAAGACCAAGATACTTAAGGGGTCATTCTCTCTCTGAGTACCCTAAAATATTAGGAGACATATGAACCTTATCTGAAATGGAATTTATACCCACAAGTACACTCTTTCCTAAATTCACTTTCAAACCTGAAATAATTTCAAACACATCCACAAGTACCTTGAAATTAGGAAACTTTTCCTCCTCTCCCAAATAAAAGAAGATGGTATCATCTGCAAATTGTAAATGTGACCCTGAAATCCTCTCTCTTCCAACTATAAAACCTAACCACATCCTTCAACTCTCATTATTAGTCTATTCAAACCATCAAACACCAAAATGAAAAGGAAAGGCGGCAAGGGTCACCTGGTCACAACCTCCTAGAGGTTTTGAATTTTGTACTTAGTTTACCATTAATCATGACTGAAAAATTCATTGATTGCAAGCATCCTCTAATCCATTATCCATCTTCTGCACCTATGTCCAAACCTTTCATCTCCAACACATAATCAAAAAATTTACAATCCACATAATCATAAGCTTTCTCAAAATCAATTTTAAACACTAAACACTCCTCCCCTCTAGATTTATAATCCTCCACAATCTCATTAGTTACAAGAGCAACATCTAAGATTTGTCTTCCTTTAACGAATGCACCCTGATTAACAAAAATAGTCTCATCAAGAATCTTCCTTAGTCTCATAGATAACACTTTTGCAACAATCTTATAAAAACTTGACACCAGATTAATCGGCCTAAAATCCTTAATTTTCAAAGATCTTTCTTTTTTTGGTATGAGATAAATAAATGAAGCATTGGTAACTCCATTAACCACACCATATGAAAAAATTATGTGAACATTTCCATAAAATCCTCTTTAATGACTTCCTAACAATCCAGATAAATAGTCATCGTAAAACCATCCTTTATGGGGGCCTTATCCCTACTACATTCAAAAACTATCTTTCTAACCGCTATCTCTTCAAATGGCCTTTCCAACCAAATTGTTTTTTCACCATCAATAGAATACAAACCCAAACCTTCGTATCTAGCCTAAAACAATCTTGAAATAAATATAACTTGGCAAAGAAATGAATAATTTCATCCTCAATCATTCCTTCCTCTTCAATTATTTCTCCATTATCCAACCCCAGCTTATGAATGACTTTCTGTTTATTCCTTCCATTTGCCACTCTATTAAAAAGTTTGGACTTATTATCACCTTCTTTTATCCATTTGACTCTTGATTTTTATCTCCAACTTATTTCCTCCTTAAAAACCACATTCTTAAATTTATTTATTAATTCTCATCTCTCAAATCCTCATATTCTCACTCAAACTCCCACCTTCCTCAAAACTATCAATTTTGCAAGTCTTTTTAGGATTAAACTCTTAATAACCCGAATATCCCCCAAAACCTCTTTGTTCCATGTCTTCACCTTTTGTTTTACATAATCTAATATTTTCATAAACTTATATCATTCTCATCCATGAAAATTACCTTCAATCTACCATTTCTTAAATTGGCCTCTAAAAGTATGATGCTCCAACCACATGGTCTCAAACCTAAAAAGACATGGACCCCATCTAATAGAGGATGTATTAAGGATAATGGGACAATGATCTGAAACCACCCTAGGTAAAGCCTTCTATCTACCACTCATATAACACTCCTCCCATCCAACCGAAAAGAGAAACCTATCCAATTTATTACAATTTGGATTTTCTCCACTAATAATAAGATCAAAGTCTCTCATTCTCTTCATCATTGTCCCTCCACTCATCTTTCAAACGGATATCTAACCACATTAAAATCACCTCATAAACACCATCTAGCACTCCAAAGCCTGAACAATCCTGCCAATTCTTCCCATAAAAGTTTTCTCATTAGGACCATACACTCCAGTTAGCCACCAATCATCACTATCCGTAACTTTTACCTTAACTGACAACGTAAACTCTCCACCAAAAGTACATTTGCGAAGTCCTGGAGAGGAAGATGCATCTTGGGTTGACGTATAGAGCGACTTGTCAGAGATATTGGGTCATATGGGATTTCCCTGTTATCTCCCCCAATCGAGATATCCTCGGTTTCGCCCAAGAAAGATTAATTGAATCATCAAAAATTTGGAGCGTGAGGTACTATTAAATCAAATCCATTTTTGGGGGGGATTCAGATTACTATTATCAATTAGAATGATATTGGTTGGGACTGAACCAATGACTATTCATGATTCCATTACTGAATCAATTTCATACTGGTTTTAAATTAGAGGAATGTATTATGGTAAAACTTCGTTTGAAACGATGTGGTAGAAAGCAACGTGCGACTTGAAGGACACAATCCGTTGTGGATTCTTACATCCACCATTTTATATAGGAATAAAGGTGCTCTTGACTCGACATCCTTTGTTCTATTCCACTAGAACCCCTTTTTCTTTTCTTTTTTTGTTGGGGGTGGGGGGTGGGGTTGTAATGTAAATAATCCATGATGGAGTTCGAGTAGAAAATATTGATTAATTTCTCGGGGGCAAGGGACTAGGGTTAATGCCAATCAATAAATTGGAACAATTGCCTCCTCTATATTCATCGTTCTCTCATCCCGCATAACAATAATACCTCCCGATCTCCTAACAAAAGGTAAGAAAACCCAATTGATGAGACAAAAACCCCATAAACTCTTCACTAACTTTCTTTCTACACACTCTTTAGTTTCTTGCAAAAATGGTCACATCCAAACTCTCTTTCAATATCATTTCTTTAATTGTGTTTTTTTCCTTTGACCCCAACCCCCCAACATTTCAACTATCACGGGGTAACACTTCGGTTTTCTTTCAAGGCTACCTGTTAAGGCGTTGTCACTACAACCAATCACACACAATCTCAAGAACAGGGACAGAAACTCACACACAAAGGCACACACGAATTTACTGGGACAACACTCCAAAATCTTATATATTGAACTCAATACAATTTACAAGGAAACTCAGCAAGAACACTCTCTGTCTACCAGAATGCCCAAACACCCCTATTTATACAAGAAGTATGACAGATGACACCCCCATCTGCCAAAGGGTAGTTACCCACATTCGGCTATTCCATAGTAAACTTGGTCAACAGGCTTGATCTCTATGCGACACCTGACAGGTAGTTCCATCCATTCAGTAACTAATGTAGAACTACCCCTCATTAGCATGCATCTGGACCACAATCAGGCTAGGAACGCCCAGAACTGCTTCCCACAGACTAAGCCTTATTCAACAACTGCCTTGACTGAGTCTTGGCATCTGCAATTGTCCACATCCTCTGTGGCACATGCATTGAGCAGCCATGTGCCCACATTTAGTAGTCAGCCTTGCCTCACGAACCATTGTGCATGCTGGGTTCAGCCCATGCCATGAAATTCAAAGCTATGCACCACATTGCCTCAATTGAGCCCACCACATGCTGCCATGCTCAGCTGAGTGGTCTCATGCTGCCACAATCTGCATCAATCTATTGAACCGCTTAACCGCATCACCTTGATTCAATCTCATGGCGTGCCTTGGTGCAAGGTGTCACCAAGGCTGCCATTATACGCCCAAGTCAGTTAGGGTGTGACACCAACTCATTATCTTCATTTCAAACTATCTACAACATGCTCTATCCACCTAGATCCCCTTCCTTCATAATTAACTCCCAATTGCCAATTCCTAAGCTCACGAGCTCCCCTATCCTTCCATACACTTCTCCCTTCTCCCCTTTTCTTGCCTTTCTTTTTGTTATGGACCAAAGATAGATCCATTTTTTTCCAAAAAATTCTTAAGAATTTCCCATTTTTCCTCATCAAGGAGAAAATACCTATCCTCTATTTCTGACTCTTTTTCCATATCTCTAGAATTCAAGGGTCATCAATATTTTTGACGTAATCAGCCTCCCCCTGGTGAACTATGGGCTCCTGAGTAACAAAATTACCTATGGCAATCTAGTTCCCAATACCCAAACACGGCTTCTCAACACCAAAACATTCCAACTCATTAGCTTACCTATGGCATATGTTTCTCTTTCACCAGATCATCTATTGAATAAACTCAAACTATTGAATCAAACCGCATTTGAGAGTTGCAGCAAAATGTAATCTGCCAACCTGATGACAAGGCCTCACATAGCCAGGATTCAAACTTGCAGAGCAAATGATTAAAGAACAAAAATTATAGGCATCACAAATATCAGGAAATAAACTGGCATTATCAAAATGGCCACTGACAATCTAGGAATTACTTGATTGTTATAGGCTTTATCTATGCAATGATATGGATATATACATATGGACACCTATCAAGATGCAGATGCGAAGAAACAGGCTACCAAATGCCTAGTCCTCAAGGAGAAAATACCAAAGCATCATAAAAAGAAAATCTTGAAAAGCAGAGACAACCCTGTAAACTACATAAAAAGGATTGCTTACATAACAGACATCAACATTATACCAAAGATAGTTACAGCTGCACACTTCATATCGCCACCAAGAAATTTAGACAGGTACTTCGATGAACTGTAAAATTTTGCATTAGTTTCCATATTAATTTAAGCCTGCAGAAAAATATGTCAAGACCAAAACTATGTCATTATCATCATCTCTTTTTTTTTTTTTTTTTTTCATTTCAATTTATTTCAAATTTGAAGGCAACCACTTTGTGCATGTTATGCCAAAGATTAGGCCAGCACTCAGATTCACTTTTTCCAGCAGACCTTGATTAACAAGAACAAATTTAGTAATGACCTAGTAAAAATATTTTTGTTCATTTATTCATCATGAAGGGGGAAGGAGAAGGTATTTTACATAAATCGTAAGTGAACACAATTTCAAAACAAGATTTAAAATCAGTCATCAGAAAAAAAAAAAAACTTGAGTTACCATCACTAACAAAACCAAAGTATGATACAGTCATTCCAAAGTGAATGACACCAGTTTGAATCCACTCGACAGCAAAAACATCTGTGGCTGTAAGACCTCCCTGAAACCAACAAAAACAACACAGGAATGAGTACCATAAAGCCCAGAACCAGAAACAAAGATACTTGAAAAAGGCATATAATAAATAGTACATGCAAAGGTATCCTGGTTCCCTCACCACTGACCATCCCCACAAAAACAGAAAGAAAAATCATCATCATTACCGTTAGTGAGTGGGGAGTAACAGGGTCATTGCTTTATTCTCATATGTGTAACTATATATATTACACTTTAGCCAATGTTAGTAGCAATGTTATTCTTATTAAATCACGTCTCTCTCTCTCTCTCTCTCTCTCTCTCTCTCTCTCTCTCTCTCTCTCTCGTTGCTTGTATAGTTTACATGGTATCAGTCACTGTTGAGGTGGTTACTGCGAGTCGTCGTTTGTTGTCGATGTGGAATCGCTATTTGCTGACCACAATTGAGCCGTTGTTCGTTGTCGAAGTGAGTCGTTGATATTGTTGATCTAATATATCGATCGTTATCCAAGAGTCGCTATTGTGGGTGAATGCATCACAATGAAATCATTGTTGAGTTCTTGAATGAGATCGTATTCATTGTTGGTTGATTTGTGTTTTGGTTGATTTGTTTTTTGGTTGAGAGGTTGTAGATCTGGGCAAGGGTTATGAACAGTCTAGATGCTGCAGGGTTAGGATTTCCGAGGTTCAAGAAAGGGTCCGAGGGTTTAATCGGATCCTCTAGAGCCAAAGTCCGAAATCCAACAGTTCGATATCTAAATGTCTGATCAGAAGCCCAAGTTCAAAGTCTAAAAGTGCAATCTGATCAAAAGCCCAAGTTCAAAAGCCCAAATACAGAAGTTTAGTCCAGCCCAGACTGATTGAACAGCTTTCAGATCGATTCAGACCTGTTCAAACCGGTTCACACTTAAATTGATCTTGTTTAACCCAAACCAGCCTAGTTCGACTCCTTCTAGACCAATTCATATTTAGTTTTATCCGGTTTAGTCCATCTCAAGTCGGTTCTTAGTGATTTCAGAGCTTCGGTCCATCTCAAACAAATTATAATTATTCTAAACCAGATCTGCCAGATAAGTCATTTATTTTTATTTTTTATTAGCTGGTACTGCTCTCTCCTCTGTTTCAATGTCTAGTGGACTATTTCAACATGCTCTTCTCTGTTTCTTCTGCTTGGACTTGGCATTGTGGCCGAAACTAAGTCTCCTTCCGGTGGTGTTGCATCCGTGGTGAGTCAAAATTTTATAGATTTCTCACACTTTGCATCCCGAAAGATGTCTCAATTCCTAATTTGCATCCCAAAAGATTATTTTTCCCATATTGAACCCTGAATGTCATAAATTGGTTCTAATGTGGCCCTCGGACTAACATCTATTTTAGATTCTGTTAAAAATTAATGCCCATCCCACTCACAGATAAATATAAACCCACCATTTATATCTGTGAATGGCATGTGCATCAATTTTTAACGGAATATGAAATGGATATTAGTTCAATGGTCACATTAAAACCAATTTATGGCATTCAGAAGGCAATGTGAAAAAAATAATCTTTCGGGATGTAAAGTAAGAATCGAAACATCTTTCAGGATGCAAAGTGCTAAAAACTCAAATTTTGTTGGTTCATCTATTACCTCTGTTAAGCTGAAGGCAATAATTATGTGCCCGGGTCTCGTGTTGAAGTGTTTTTGACAGCTAAAAATAAAGTTGAATATCTTCCTGAGGAGAAAGCCCGCAATTCTAATTCAAATCTTAAACAGTGGAAAATAGAGAATGCACAAGTGATGACTTTGTTATGGAATAATGTGAAAACCTCGGATAAGTATTCATCTCACGTCTCTTGACACTGTTAAGGAGATATGATTTGCGCTTAGTTGTTTTCCAGAGAAGATAATATTGCTAGAATTTATTAGTTATTTCAAGTTTGTTCAGTCTGGTGCAAGGTGATAAGAATATTAAAGAATACTACTACATGCTGCAAAATTTATGAATAATCTCAATGCTTATCAGTCATTCTCTATTGATTTGAAGGTCCAAAAAAAGCAGCATGAGGAATTAATGACTGTTCACTTCCTATCCAGTTTAAAATTAGAATTAAAAACTGTTCGTGCTCAAATTTTAGCCAGTAAGAAAATTCCTTCGATGCCAGAAGTTTTTTCTCGTATTCAACGAGCTTCTTTCACTAATAGTGGTATCTTTGTACTTGACTACTTAGCTTTAGTTGTATTGCCTAATTAAGTGTATCATAATTTATCTCATGGGGCAGAGAAAATCACGGTGGGCCTAGAAGTGGTGGTCATCGCCTAATGGACAACCACGGTGGTAGAGGTTGCGGACCTATGAAGTTTTACATTCATTGTGGACTTAAAGGCCATACAATAGACTATTATTGGGATCTACATGGAAAACCCTCTTCTTATGCTCATGCTATGTCTTTCTCAGATGATTTGGGTTTAGGACAGTTTGCTATCGGTGAGCCTACATCCACATCAGAGATTAAATCTATGTCTAAGGAAGAGTATAATCAACTTGTTTCTAAGTTTGGTGTTCCTACTTCTACTTCCACAGCTATTTTGGCCCAGTCAGGTACAACATGTTTGATATCTCATTCGTATACTTTTATCTCCATGGGTCATTGACTCTAGGGCCTCTGATCATATGATAGGTAATGTGAGCGCATTCTTATATTTTAATCATATTTCTACTAACCAACATGTCACATTAGCTGATGGAACTTCATCCTTGGTATTTGGTGTTGGCGTTGTGAACCTTACTTCCTCGTTGTCTTTATTCTCAGTCTTGCATATTCTTAAATTTTCATTCAATTTGATATTTGTGAGTCAACTCACTAAATCTTTAATTTATTCCATAACATTTTATCCTTCTTTTTGTGAGTTTCAGGACCTCCACACGAGGAAGATGATTAGTAGAGGTCATGAAGACAACGACCTTTACTATCTTGACATAGTTCCTACTTGCAGCTTTGTTTTACACACTTTTCCACATCAGTGGGCATCTATCTTTGCAAAGTCTTCAATAGTTAGTTCCTCAATCACGTCAATTATCGTCTTTAGATTGTGAGTCGTGTCAGTTAGGTAAACATATTCAGAGTTCATTTACTCCTACATTGTGTAATCGTGTTTCTAATTTATATGAAGTTGGTCATTGTGATATTTGAGGTCCTAGTCATCTTTCTTCTTATGTAAGGTTTAAGTATTTTGTTACCTTTGTAGACGATTTTTCCAGGATGACCTGGCTATTCTTAATGAAAGATCGCTTTGAATTGTTTTCTATTTTCAAAGCTTTTGTTGTGGAAATTAAGACTCTTTGGAGTGTATGTACTTTACAATCTAATAATGCAAAGGAATATCTTTCTCACCAATTTCATGATTTGTTCACTACTCATGGTTTGAGCACTTCATGTAGTAACACCCCACAATAGAATGGAGTGGATGAACGCAAAAATCGTCACCTCATTGAAGTTGGTTGTGTTATTTTGATTCATATGAAAGTACCAAATGTTTTTTTGAGTGATGTTTGTCCTTCATGTCACCTCATTAATTGTATATCATCATCTGTTCTTGATGGTCAAATTCCACACCAAATAGTATTTCCTGATCATCCTTTGTTCTCTATTCTACCACGTGTCTTTGATTATGTAACCTTTGTTCATCAGTCAGGTCAAGGAATAGACAAACTTGATCTTAAATCTGTCAAGTATATTTTCTTGGGTTATTCTCGTACACAAAAAGGGCATCAGTGCACTATAATACAAGCTTTCGCCATCAATTTATCTGATGTTACATTATTTGAGTCTATTCCTTTCTTTTCTGAGGTTGCAATTAATGTCGTACTTCTTCAGTCTTCCCTTCCTTTGCCCCTTACTATCTTGTCTCTACCCACTTTCTCTTATGTTGTCAAACGTTCTATGACGCAAGTGTACTCCTGTCCTAAAAAGACCGTTGTCCAACTACCTCCACCACCCTCTCTATCGTCTAAAGGTCTTGATCTCCCACCATATCTGAATGCCAAACTTCCTATTGCACTTCAAAAATGTAAGCGCTCATGTATCCTTCTTAAGAGTTCTACTGCTCATCCTATTGAAAACTTTCTTTCTTGTAATAGCTTGCCTCCTACCTTTCGTTGTTTTACATCATCTATCTTGTGTCCTTCTGTTCTTCACACTGTTCATGAAGCTCTCGCTAATCTTGGGTGGTGTCAAGTAATGGACGAGGAACTCACCGCTAAGCATGAAAATCAAACTTGAAAACTTATTCCTCTTCCTTTTCGGAAGAAATTAGTTGGTTGCTAATGGGTGTATGTTATCAAGTACTTACCTAATGGTTCCATTGAGAGATTAAAGACCCGAAATGTTGCCAATGTTTTTACTCAGACATATGGTGTGGATTATGTTGAAAACTTCTCCTGTTACCAAAATCTCACATGATCGGGTTATTATCTCTTTAGTAACTAATTTCCAATGGTCATTGTTTCAATTAGATGTCAATAATACTTTTCTGCATGGTGAATTGACTAAGGAAGTTTATATGGAGCAACCACTTGGATTTATTGCTCAAGAGGAGTCTAGTGGTAAGGTATGCAAATTAAAGAAGATAATATATGGGTTAAAACAATCACCTCCAGCATCGTTTGGCAAATTCACGAAAATTGTGTTACAACTTTGGACTTCAACAATATCAAGTAGATCACTCGATGTGTTGTAAGAATTTTGAATCCAGCATGATCGTTTTAGTTGTCTATGTGGATAATATTGTTATTATGGAGAGTGATAGTAAAGATATTATTGCTTTAAAATCATTCTTGCAACAGAAGTTTCATATTAAAGAATTGGGTAAGTTACGGTACTTTCTTGGAATTGAAATGGCAACATTCAAGAGTGGTATCAGTTTGTCTCAGTAAGCACAACACAAGTATGTACTGGATCTACTTGTTGAAACAGGACTTACAGGTACAAAACCAATTGATACTCCCACGGAATCTAATACAAAACTGATCACAGAATAAAGGGAGCTATTTCAACATCCAGAAATATATAGAAGACCAGTAGGGAAATTGAATTACTTAACTATTTTAAGACTTGATGTCTCTTTTGTGATTAATGTTGTAAGTTAGTTTATAAAATCTCAAAGAGTACCACATTGGGAGGCAGTGATTAGAATCTTGAGATATTTGAAAAAGGCTCTTGGTCAGGAGTTATTATATAGAGCTCATGAATATTTACAAGTAGTTGGTTTTACCGACACAAATTGGACCAGCTCCCCATTAGATAGAAGATTTACCACAAGGTATTGTACATTTCTTGGAGGAAATTTGGTGATTTAGAAAAGTAAGAACCAGAGTGTTGTGGACCGATCTAGTGTTAAGGCAAAATATAGGGCTATGTCTCAAACTACTTGTGAATTGATATAGCTGAAGAATTTATTGCATGAGATTGGTATTCCAGTAACCTTTCCAATGCAATTATTTTGTGATAATTAGGCAGCAATTCACATTGTTTCAAATCCAGTCTTTCATGAATGAACAAAACGTATTGAAGTTAATTGTCACTCATGGTTCAAGGTCACAGTATCTTGACTCGAAAAGCTTTGAGACACATCGGTCGCAATATTAGGCGATACGATCTAAAAGAAAATATTGAACATGACAGGAAATTCAAGTCATATTGTAGCATCACAGAATCGTATCGACTGATTTAGTGACAATAACTCAGCAACTCGGGATTGGCTTGAATACAATTTGGTTGACTCAGCCGTGCAAAACTCAGAATTTATACATATCGTGTAACGATATCGTTTCATAAGGTGCTAAGTAAGGTCTACAGATCAATTGGCAGACAAGGATTAAAATATCGTTTTGCAACAGTCGAAACATTCAAAATGTTTTCATTTCAAAGGACATTAAAATGAAACAGTGATGGAATTGAAATTTTAATACTTCGAGGTGTTCCATAACGTTTCCAAATGTTTTGTTATATTTTAATGTATTTGCACAATTATTTCAAAATATTCCAAGATATTTCCAGATTTTTGGTTTATTTTGACTAATGTTCTGAAAAAAAAAATCTTAATTTTTTTTATTTTTTTCATTCTGTTTTTGAAACAGGTCAAAAAGTTCCGAAACACATCGAAACATTTCTATTTCCTAGGTGACTGAAACGATGCACCGAAATGAAATTTTGATCCTTGTTGGCAGACATCTTCACAAAGTCACTCAATAAAGATAAAATTGAAAATATTTGTTCCAAGATAGAACTATTTGATATCTTTAGTCCAGCTTGAGGGAGTGTTAGTGATTGTGGGGTAATAGTCACTGCTTTATTCTCAAGTGTAACTATATATATATTACTCTTTAGTCAATGGAAGTAGCAATGCTATTCCTATTCAATTACGTCTCTCTCTCTCTCGCACGCGTGCATTCCATACCTTGTCTCTTTCTTTCCTGTGCAATTCTGGGTTTGGCATTTGATAGTTATAGAGGCACAAAAAAAAAAGCATGCTTCATTTGGTACAGTCAGGATAACATAAAAGAGTTACCTTCACTATAGCTATTGCAGCAGAAACAGGATCTCTAACTCCAAGAACAGTCCAAACTAAAGAATTATCAGAACCAGCAGGTATTATTCCAATGGGAATTGAAATTGCTTCTTTCTGGTTATCTCTGTTCAGCAGGCCATTCAAAACCTGCACAACGAACTGATTCATGTAATTATGCAACTTATTAGGGGGAAATATTCCACCAATTAGCAGAAACAAAAACGTATGATAAATGCACATTTCAGTAAGAATAATGGCAGTAAAAGCCCATCTTAAGATCAACACGCTCATAACCATGTTAAAAAGTTTCAGAGACTCAAACGATTTCAAGCCCATGTCAGAACCACAAAAAAAAAAAAAAAACCATGTAATTGAAATCAGTTTGCATTCTAGTGACACAATGCTGATTTAAACTGTAATTGCTGAAGATAATGGTAAAAATGGTACCAAATGCCATGAAATTAAAAATTTCAGTCAAATGCCTGTCATAATGGACATCCACAGCCCACATACTATCCATAAAAAAAGTAGGAGAAACCTTGTCCGTGTCTAATAATGGTTTTCAGTCATTTGTATCATTTAACAAGTCACACCTGATATCTAAACCATACCCATCACCAAGAATTGTCACAATTTCGGAAACCCAGAACTGAGTTCCCATGAGTCCAAGGTGCCAAAATTAAGGTAATAATTTCTTCTGCTTGGAAACAACTATACTAAGGCACCATTCAAAATGATGAAATGGCACAGAGAAAAGTTAGAGGTGACAGGAGGGAGAACCTTTCTAACTCAAGAACGCTGTTTATCCTTCAAGAAGCAAAGTAAAGTTCTGTCTCTGTTGAGTCTACGTTCTCTCTGCTACGAAGTCCTCTACCATCTTTACGACTATATTACTACATCCCTCTGGTTTGTGTCCTAATTTCAATAGGCGAGACATCCCAACCGTTACAAACTGTCAAGATGATGGAATACAATGATAGTAATATTTTGCAATTAATTGTCCATTTCTATTCAACAAGACATACCACCAGCGTGACTGATTGTGATTCCAAGTGATAAGACCTAGGACAGGTGTAGGATCGAACAGAATTGAAGTTAGGTCCAGGTGCAGCAGGACTCCCAATTACCACACACAATCACATACTAAGGTGTTCCCTGCTGGTGGTTGGAATGACGCAAGCCAGGCTAGGTTTTGTTTCAGAAAGATGAATGACGCAGTATGAGTGCTTTTGTGGCAGGCCTAAATTGAGAAAATCTAGTTAGTATATGGGTTTAAGAGGTGGAAGAGTGGCAGTAATTTCTTGATTTAGGAAATGTTTGGATGCAAAGAGCAAAGAGAATGGATTGTAGAATTTCTGACAGTAGCACCTTTTGATGTTTGAGCCAGGAAGGCCAAATTTGAATTGGTAAGGGAGTGAAAAGGTTGGGTTTAGAATCTAAAAATGGGGCTGTTTTAAGCCAGTTCACAATATTTCATGCACAGTGCCCATTCAACCACCAAGATATGTTGATTCTGGAAGGAACGTTGTATGGCTTGAAGCAATCAAAGCATACTTGGATTGACAAGTTTAGTTTATTTATACTTCAGAACGGCTTTCATTGCTATACTTCGGATCATTTTGCATTCACTATCCTCCACAGGTATTATTGTTTGATGGAATTTTTTGATCTCCATCAATGAGAGAGAGAGAAGGTATTTTCTAATTTAAAACATATTTCTGATGTTGAGGATATATTTAAAAATTGACAGCTCAATTAAGGAAAAGATTAAAAAAATAAATAGCTAAAGAATTCTGGCAATCAACATTTTCTAAAACATGGTGCAGGTAATTTTAGGAACCACAGCCGTACCCACTGTAAATGTCAGATACTTCAAGTGAAGTCATTGCAATTGTCCCTAAAAAATTTTGGGTTGATTATTGTTTGCGCGAAAATTACAAACTTAAGGGATTTTTTGACTATTGAATTAACTTAGACTGCATCTGAACACATGAATGAAGTTTCCCTTGGTCCTCCAGCTTAATACCTAGAATCAGCGTCATCACAAGATAATTTACCATGGGATAATTGCTGTTGAGCATCAACATTGTTCAGAGCCTCTCAAGCAAATTCCAAAAATGTACTACTGATGTTGTAAAAGCTTCCAAAGGTACTGGAAATTGGTTGCCTCCAAACAAAACAATGCTGAATGACACAGTAGTTTACCCACTCGTCACCAGAGATGGACGGTCATGGAGTAAATAAAAAAATAATAGCCAAAGTAGAGATATTGTCAGGCATGTTATCACGCCCCAAAAATACTCATATAGTTTATCACCATCTTTAGTTCTTTTGAGATCAACAGAGCCATAACTTCTTAATGTGGAAGGAAGGAATTCAAAAAAAAAAAAAAGAAAGAAAAAAGCTCAATTTGCCTCCATAAACCATCAACCACGATTTATTAACATGAAAAAACAATGAATATGACTACATTACAAGACAACAAATAGCATAAAATGGCAGATGACTAACCTCATTAACAATTCCATCACCTCCAACACATATAATTCCTGCCAGAAGTACAATTCCACATATGCAAAGATAGTCAGACGCATGACTATACCAAATAAATTGACGACATTAAAAAACACAAAGGCCTAAATACCATCAGGGCATGTGCTGAAGTCAACAGTGGATGCAAGTTTTTTAGCATGACCAGCAGATGTCGTTTTAACTACCTCCATCTTAAACCCTGCAAGCTGTCATAGATTCAAAAATTAAATAGAAATTGGGTGTATGAACAAAAAACTGCAACGATACTCAATTCCTTCCTATGACAGAGTTATTCGAGCCAACTACTTAATCTAACATGTCACCACAAAGAAAATCTGAGCAGCAAGAAATGTTACTGCAAACAACTAGGGTCAATTATACCAAAAGAAGTCACTAACTAAAATGCAGAAGGTGCAGCAAGCCTGTTAAATGTCTCCAATTGATTATCACCCCTTGAACAGAAAAAAGAAAAACAATACGAGAGTCATAATAATTGCTTTTTGCCACCAGCAATGCAGCTGAAACCTTTGGAGTATAATGAGAAATTGTCCTATTCTTTCAATTGGATTAGCATCAGAACTGAAAATATGAAAAATGCATGGCCCCAACGGCCATTTGTTCACAATTCCAATATTTCATGAATGAAGCCCAAGCAAACAGGTCATAGGTCTTCTCAAGGTCTAATTTGCATATTACCACTCATCCATTGCTCAGTACAGAATGCACTCGTTCAACTAAGCAGCCATAATTAGATGCCAACTTGCCTAGGAACCGACAACCATTCCTTTGATGACAAGAGCTCGCCCTTATCAGCAAAAACCTATCAAGCCCTTTGCTCTTCTATTTTGTATTAGCCCCCTCTTTGACTTTTGAAAATTTTGGACTCTATGCAAGGTTATGAAAAGATGTGACAATAATTACTTTTAAATTAGGCATGAGTGGATATTCCATATTAGGAATCGGGGTAAGCAAACCTACTTCTTTGTTCTTACTTGAACCCCACCCCCCCCCCCCCAAAAAAAAAAAAAAAACATTGCATTCACGTGATCTAGATAAAGCTAAAGAAACATTTAACTCATCCCCATCCTCACACTCTCTTTCCAGTATGTCCTCCCTTAGTGTGATGATGAAGACTCGCATGATTTCTCTCCCTTCAGAAACATGGTTCAACAACAGAGTTGTATCCGATTTAACACCTTCCAAGATGATATCGTTATACGATACATATAAACCCTGAGTCTCGCATAACTCGATCGAGTCATCCAAATTGTATCCAAGTCAATCCCAACTCGTCAAGTTATCATCATCGAATCGGCCGATACATTTCCACGACGCCACAATATGACCTGAATCTCTTGTCATATTCAACATTTTTTTTTAGCTCGTATAACCTGATATTGCTCCGCGACGCCTCAACCGATCTGTCTCAGAGCATCCACGTGATCTATGCTGCCCCTTGTGAAAACAGGAGATATTCTTTAAAGTGGTAGCTAAACATTGGCCCAAATGTAAAAAATGGGTCTAGCTTGGCCCAACGAAATTAACAAATTTTTTATTTATATTTTGCTAACATTTTTCCATCTTTTAGGAATGTATACTCATAATTAAAAAAAGATTCCAGACAAAATTTCAATTGGCTATGGTTTCTAAATCCCAAAAATATTTAAGTGGATTGCCTTCAATTAAAAGTCACTAGAGAACTCTTATCGGGTATTTATTAAAAGATAAATTCATATAACATTGTTTATTATACATATCACAAGAGGTCTATATTTACAAAAGCTTAGAGTTAAAAATACATAAATTAATTTTTTGAGAGGTGTGAACGAAAATAAAAAATTCAAGTTCCTAGTTTTCGTTACTATTACGGAACGCCCCGTTTCATCCCACATGTCACATAGTTACCATTATTATTACGGCAGCCGTTACCATTATTCAGAACCATGGTAGGGCCTTCTCGTATTGTGTCTACTTCTGGTTATCGTTATTTTGTTACCTTTATTGATTATTATTCTCATCTTACTTGGGTTTATGTACTACACAGTAAAAGTGAAGTTTACTCATGTTTTAGATCTTTCCATAAAATGGTGAGCACTCAATTTGACGCCAAAGTCAAAATTCTTCAAAATAATAGAACCGATTATATTGATGGGGAGTTCACTCTTATCTCAATGAAAATGGTGTCTTGTACCAAACTACGTGTTTGTGTACCCCTGAGCAAAATAGTGTTTCTAAGTGAAAAAATCGTCATCTTCTTGAGGTTGCTCATTCATTGATGTTTGCTATAACTATTCCTCCTTTATAGGGAGATGCAGTTCTTAATGCAGCTTATTTTATTAATCATCTACCCTCGAGTGTCCTCCAATTTAAGTCTCAAATCGAGTGACTTGCGTAAGTCTTTTTTCATTCTTTCTATTTCTTTCATTCCTCCTAAAGTTTTTGAGTGTTTGTTTTGTACACGATTACAGACCCTCTACGAGAAAACTTGACCACGTGTTTTTGTTAGTTACTCTACCACTCAAAAGGAGTATAAATGCTATCATCCATTTTTACAAAAAATGTATGTTTGCATGGATGTTAGCTTTTGTGAATTTAAATCTTTCTTCTCTACTACACAATCATCTCTTCAAGGGGAGAATACTATCATTGAGGAAAAGATGGCATGTCAGGAACCTTTTCTTCAATTACTTGTTTAGTGGAATATTGGTAAGGGAAACAACAACTTATTGAAGAAAAAGGAGGTGAGACTAGTTGTCCATTTGGTACTCGTCTTGACAAGAATAACCTGAAGACTTACTCTCAGTGTCAAAAGGTACAAGGACAGACTACTCACGTGACACTGAGTCAATTGAATTCCCCAACTTCAGTTCAAACACTTTCCAATGATTTATCAAGTAATGAACCTTCAAATGTTACTCCTATTGATAATTCTGTTGTTAATGATTCTGAGCCTCCTATTGCAGTTATAAAAGGTGTTAGAACTTGTACTCAACACCCATCTCTAACTATGAATGAGTCCTTATCCCCATCATATTGTGTTTTTGTTTCCTCGCTATCTTCTACATCTATTCTACAGGGTTGAAAAAAAGTCCTCACTAATCTCAAGTGGAGAGAAGCTATGGTAGAGAAAATAAAAGACATGAAAAAAAAACAACACATGGGAACTAGTTTCTCTTCATGATGGAGCAAGGGCAATAGGGTGCAAATAGGTGTTTACTGTCTAACATCAAGTCGATGGGACAATCGAGAGGTACAAGGCAAGGTTAGATGCTAAGGGTTTCAACCAGACCTATGGCATTGATTATTAGGAGACTTTTGTCCCTATGACAAAGATGAACTCTGGGTAGTACTATGTAGTAGTTGGACGTGAAGAATATTTTTCTTCATGGAGATTTGAAAAAAGAGGTGTACATAAAATTTCTACCAGGTTTTTCATCCCAGTTAACCAAAGGAGAGGTATATAAGTTGAAGAAATCTTTTTATGGGCAGCAGCAGTCTCCCAAAACTTGGTTTGATAAGTTTCTCAAAGTTATGCTTAAATTTGGATATAAATAGAGTCATGCTGATTATCCTGTGTTCATCAGCAGATTGATGATAAGATCATTGTTCTAATTGTGTATGTGGATGACATAATAATAACCGGGAACGATGTGCAGACAACCACCAAACTTAAAACCCAGTTGGCTAAAGAGTTTAAAATCAAAGACTTTAGGTACATTGAGATCATTTCTTGAAATTGAGGTTGCTAAGTCATTTCCCAAAGAAAGTATATGCTTGACCTTCTTAAAGAAACAGGCATGTTGGAATGTAGACCAGAAAATTCTCTCATTGAAATCAATCATCGATTCAGTAGTGGAATTGGTGATGTAGTTGATAAGGAGAGATATAGGAGATTAGAGGGGAGATTGACATATCTCTCTCATACTCGTCTAGATATTGCTTATGTAATGGGTGTTATCGGTCAGTTCATGCATGATGATCAAATTTCTCATCTTGAAATTGTTTATCGTATTTTTGAGATATCTAAGTCAACTCCAAAAAAATAGATTTTGTTCACCAAACATGGTCACTTGAAGTTAGAAACATTTACTGATGTAGATTGGGCAGGTTTTGTGAATGACTAGCGATCTACTTCGAGCTACTACTGCTTGATTGGAGGAAACTTTGTTACTTGACAAAGCAAAAAAAAAAAGGTAGTGGTAGTTAGGTCTAGTGCTGAGGCTGAATATAGAGCAATGGCTCATTGAATTTGAAAATTTATGTGGCTTAAAATCTTACTGGAATAGCTCAGAATTCATGAACATATGCCTATTAGACTGTATTGTTAAAATAAAGCAGCTATCAAAATCACGCATAATCCAGTTCAACATGATAGAACCAAACATGTTGAGATTGACCAACACTCTATCAAAGTAGAGTTGAACAAGGACTTGATTTGCATGTCTTTTGTGAAATCAGAGAACCAATTGGCTGATGTTTTCACCAAGGGACTTAGTAACAGCAAGATTTTTCATCCTATTGTTTGAAAGTTGGACATAGAGATATCTATACACCCACTTGAGGGACAGTGTTAGTTATTGTTAGTTATGTTTTATTTTTAACTTGAGGGTGCTCTTGTACTTTATGCTTATTTATATAAGTTTGGGTGTAATTGTGTAACCTAACAGACTATTTTCACATACTTCTCACCTATCTTCCTCTTTCTCTAAACTTTAACAGACTTACAATCTAGCTGTTTTATAGTTTTTATTTTATCCTGTAGCTAGCCTTTTTCCCTTTAATCGAACCCTAAAGAAAACAAGTCAAACAAGAAGCATAGCAATTATATCAAATAGCTAGTTGAATTTTCATTCAAACCTATAGAATTGAGAACTAATTGTTCATTTTTGGTTTTGATTTTACAAAAAATGTGAAACCGTTTAAAAAAAAAAATTGTTTCATCATTGGACTATACTGAAGAGAAAGACAAAGTGAACCCTAACTTCTCTGAACCACTTGACATGTGTAATTTATTTTTAGTCGATACGCCCTCAAATTGTAATTCAATTCCTTTTGTATCTACTTCTTTGGTCAATTCAATAGCTTTTTCATTATTTTGCTAAATAAAACTATATTTTAATAGGTAGGCTATAAATTATACAAAAATATTATGATTTTCGTAAGGTTTTTCTATTCTTCTGATAGAAATGTGAAGTTTTTGGTCCTCGCCATTAGAGGATACCTCATGCATGTAAAAAAGTTAGTTCAAGTGTTTTGATGCACTTGACAGCCTCAAGTAGCATATCAACCAATTTTATGGTGGCTTGTCCATGATGTCTCTATTCACAAAGAAATCAAAAAAATCCTTGTCCTCGAGCTAATCTAAACCACTCCCAAAAATAACAATCCTAATTCTGCTCACCCTACATCCCACCTTCTTGTGCCCATCACATAACGTCTCCTCAAGGTCCAACTTTACAAAAGTGATACCCCTCTACAATTGTCGTGCTTTTTGGATATAGTATTGACAATTGTTGTGCTTTTTTTATATAGTATATGATAAATTGGTCATTTTGTGTTCTATGTCCATCTCCATATTGCCTATCGTGCAACCAACCTCTTCCACAAACTAAAAAAGAAAAAAAAAAGGAACAGAGTGGGATTTTTTGTCGTTGTTGGGGGGGGGGGGGTGTTTTCAATATCAAATTCAACAAAAAAGGTCATCTTTATGGAAACCAACCATGTCTTTTATATAAATACACATAACTCGAAAATCCTTCGTAATGGATTACTCTCTCTGCTATAGTAATGCTCCAATAAGACAAGAAACTATAATCATCTTTTTGGCCTTCCCAATATTCCCCTCAGCATTAAGATGCCTTTTAGGGTAAATCTAAACCCAAATAAAACTTGAAAGCCTATTCACCTCAACTACTCATTTTCCCCTCTTTTCCTTCAACTGGGGTAATGGGTGTGAGAGAGGGACACAATCAAGAATGGGCTGTAAAAAGTGTAAATCATGTTGGGACTCTAGTACACGTAAAACTTATAACATCAATGTTTGATTTTCGACAAAATTTTACATTTTCACATAAACAAAAGGCTGAAATAGAAAAACTCATTTACACTAAGTAGATCTTTAATAGAAGTAACAAACAAGTGATATCGTAAAACTGTGGTTTCATTTCTGTTTTCCCCATGCTGATGTGGGATAATCCAAGTGTATTGAGTGCATAATGCCGTAAAAATTCACATCCTCGCCCAAACTATGTCAAGGAGCCAAAATCCAATCCATGTTAGCAAGAAAAGATTTAACAATCTCAAGTTTTAATGGTTTAATCCGATTGATTACCACCATTGATAGAAGCATGAGTATTTAAAACTCCATTTCATGATCTCTGAAGATTTTATCTACAAAATAAAGGAAACAATGGGGTTTTCTGAGAAATGCAAAAAAAAGGCCAATTGGTTTAAGCCACCTGTACAGATGTCAAAAGACACCATTCCAAGAATCTTTCCTTTCTTCCAAAGATCTTATACCTATTTTTCCATTGAACAAGACAAAATAAACAAGTTGGATCTGACCCATCACAATCTCTTGACACTCGTTGTATTTAGTTTCACAAATGTTTAGTGATCATAATTATCTAAGAATAAACTGAGTGCATACCACATCCCAAACCCATTTATTTCTAGCATTTCCTACATAAAATCTGAAGAAGTCTATCCCTTCATCAGGAGCAATCATATTTTACTTCATTGCGTCAAATACATATAACTAATGGAACAAGCATTCTTAAAGAAAAATGTATCCCTGGTAGACATCATCTGGTGTAATCTGTATACAACATAAACGTGGCATGATCTCTTAGATAGTGGCAAAATTGAGGATTTTAGACCTATAAGGTTCGTTAATAGCTTGTATAAAATTTGGCTAAGGTTTTATCCAGTAGATTAAGGAAGATTTTAGGGAAGACAATTTCTAGGACTTTAACCTCTTTTGTGAAGGGGTGTCAAATTCTAAATAGTGTTTTGGTGGCTAATGAAAGTATTGAAATTCTTGGATTTCGTTTTAGAGGGTGAAAGGATTTGGGAGTAGATGGAGGTGGATTATGGGGTGTTTATCATCCATGAATTTCTCTGTTGTGTTGACTAGTAGACCACGAGGGAAATTTAATGAAGCTAGGGGTTTAAGGCAAGGGGATCCACTTTCACCATTCTTTGTTAAGTTGGCTATGAATGGGCTTAGTCGTTTGGTAAATAGCAGGAAGGACTTTTATCTAGTTTAGGGTTTTAAAGCTAGTAATGATAGGGTGAGTGTTGCAAATTTACAATTTGCGGGTGATACAAATATTTTTTTGTCAGGGGATGAACAAAAATTTCAGAATCTAGTAGACATTGCATGGACATCTAGTTTATATGTTAGGTTTGAGGGTTAACATGGCTAAAAGTTTAGCTGTGGGAATTAATTCACCTAGACGTAAGTTAGAGTCTTGGCTAGTGATTTAGGGAGCGTTGCGAGTGGGTGGTCTTTAAAGTATATGTGGCTTCCATTGGAAGGTAACACCTTATCCTTGAACTTTTGAAACCATGCTCTTGAGAGAGTGGAAAAAAGGTTGGATGTTTGGAGAAAAGATTACTTGTCTAGGCATGGGAGGCTTACTTTAATTCAATTGGTTTTGGGTAGTCTTTCAACTTCTTACATGTCCTTTTTTTAATATTCCAATGAAGGTTTCTAAGATGGTTGAGAAGATGATGAGTCTTTTTACAGAAAGGGTGTGGAGAATGGAAGAGAGACAATTTGGTTACATGGTAGACGGTGTCGAGATCAAAGATGGAGGGGAGGTTGGCAGTAAGTAATATAGTGAAAAGAAGTGTGGCATTGTTAGGAAAATGTCCTTTTGAGTTAATGCAATGCAAAGACCCCATTCGACTTGGCTGGGATGGCTTTCGACCTGAGCTGGGTTGCACTATAGGGACCCGTAGTCTCCAAAGTCTTAGTCTGCTGGCTGAGATGTGTCATCATTCCAACATCAAAACGATTTCATCCCAATGGATGAGACTCCAATGTAGGAAGTAGAGACTCTTTTCGAAATCGTTGAAAATTTATTTCTCAAGGATTGGGAAGATATGTGAATCATGCTAGATTCGGGATGGGAAATTGGGAGCTTATTCGGTTGTAGGAGGATGTTTGGGTAGGAAAGTCATCTTTTGAATTGTCATTTCCTCTTCTATTAGATTGTCTTGTTCGCATAATGCTTTTGTGTCTAGTATGCTATCCTCCTTTGATCCCATTCGAGGTTGAAATTTTAACTTCTTCAGAAATTTGAATGATCAAGAAGCCTAAGATGTTTCATCCCTACTATTGTTAATTCAGTGTCATTGACTCCAAAAGGGTGTGATAAAAGAGTGATCCTAGTTCCTCGGATTTTAAACCTTAAGGTATGATTTGGAAGGCTAAAGCAGAAGTGAAGGTGCATATTCTTGTTCGAATGATCATGCACAATAAAGGGAATACTCGTGATTGTAGCAAAAGAGAATGCCTCATTATTATTTATCTCCCCAATGGAGTGTAATGTGTAGAAAGAGTGGTGAGAGTATTGATCATTTATTTCTACATTGTCCAGTGGTGATATTTCAATGGCATAAATTGTTCAAGGCAAATGGGTCAGTTCACAAGATTGTACCTCTTTACTTGTGACACGTCTATATGGTCTAGAGAGAGGAGCAAAGGCTTCTGTTCTGTGGGGATGTGCTATTATGACTATTTTTTGGATGGTGTGGATTTTAAGGAATAATAGAGTTTTTTAAGAGAAAGTTGAAGAGGTGGAGATTTTATGGGATGAAGTTAAATTTTTGGCTTCTCTTTGGGCAGTGATAACAAAGGAGTTTTGTGATATTCCTCTTTGTTATTACATTATAATTGGACTGGACCGCATGCTATAGTTAGAATTTTCATTATTTTGCTTTCACATGTATTTTTAAGTTGGATATCTTATCCACCATATTGTGTCTTTTTTTAATGCAATAAAGGTATTGTTTCTTATTCAAAAAAAAATTATGCCTACTACAGGGTAGATTTCCTATGCAAAAGGCAATCGCTATGGTCAAGCATGTGTACAAAATAGTAAAGTTAGCAGCAGAGTCTTGCGGCATTCATTTTTTCTCTCTCTGAATCATAATTCCTTGACTACACATCACACAGTTGGTATATATTTTGGCTGGGTGACCAGTGACACCCAAAGGAAGAGGCAACATGCTAGAGGATGTACTTTCCGAAAAAAACATGCTAGAGGATGAACCAACAGCTATGTGGATATGTGATTCTCGTAACCTGATTTTTTTGATGGTCTTTCCTTAATGATCGAAGTTGATGTTTGAAGCATGCAACCTCTCATGTAAGAGAGCTCTAACTTTCTTAAATAGTTTTATCCTCCAAAAAAGTAGCAATAATGAAATTAGACCTTTTTACTAGTGTTCTTTTCTGTCACTGAATTTTTTGCATTTTCACAATAAAGGTAAGACAGTCATGGTTTTGAGATTTGCAATTTAACATTGTGTGAGTTGATGATATTCTTCCTATGTTCTCCAGGTTATGCTTTCCATATTGCATGCACAATATCTTCAAAAACATATGGCAGAGCAAGAATCAATAGTTCACTGTTAGATTTGGATTTTTGTGAATAAACTTCTAAGCAAAAAATTGTACAAGGTGTCATACGAATTTTTGTAGATAGGAGCACAAATTCATGGCAGAATTATGTTCCAGCGCCATACATACATATGTGTGTGTGTGTGTGTGCAACAGAAGGAAAGAAAGAAAAAAGAAGCCCGCTTAACAGAGTTCCAGGTTCACCTATGGCTAAGGTTAACAAGGTAATACAAAAATTTTGTCCTGGAGAGAGTGAGCTAAGGGTCAGAGATCACGGTCTGCATGAGCATTGAGACATGCATATAATTTGCTTGGTTTATATCCCAAATCAGTACCCGTTCCACTATAATTTACAGATAGATGTCTGTAACCTAACAGAAATGCCAACATACCTTGAATATTGGTTCCACTCTGTCATGAAAAACTTTACTTGAACGGCCACGTCCAGACCGCGGATTTAAAATCACAAGCACTTTAGGTGGACTTTTACTTTTTATATGTGATTCAAGAGGAAAATCACTTGCAATTAGATCTGAAGCTTGCTTCTTCGATGAAACCAAGGGATGGGGCAAACAATTCACAAAACATTGCTGATCCGCAAATCCACTAACCCATTGAAGTGCTTCTTCAGGGGTAGCAGCCAAGAAGCGAAAGTCCTTCTGACTTCTCCCCATTTTCATAAAGCAAGAAAGGCCATATGAACCCTTTTTAATGGGATATGAATGCACAGTAAAATGTCTGAGACCAACATTGTACGATACCTACCAAAGTCATGGAACTAACAGTCAATACCATTGAAAAAATCAACACAGCATAAATTCATGCAAAACACAGAACCAGGCTAAGAAAGCTTACAGAAATTACATCCTCTAGAGACAACAAAAGAGAACCCCAAACCAACGCCTTGCTTGTTAATTTAGCATCAACAGCATCCAGACCCGTAATTTCTGTTGAAGTTTGTGCATCAATACTTTTAGTTGCTTTTCTCTTGTCCAAAACCAGCTTTCCGGCAAACACTTCATACCCCAACAAGTCAGACTGCTCATCTCCAATATCAATCCTATGCTCATCTCTCTTACTTTTGTTGGAATCATCATTGCTGACACTGATGTCGCCACGCTTTGAAGTCTTTGCTTTACTACGTTTTTCTGGAAAGACAATTGGGGAGGAGTGCTGTCCAGTTGCTATTTGAGAACACAAGCCCAGGCGACGAAGAGACTGCTGAGGCATCAGTCTCAAAGAATTATTCTTTGAAATATTCCCACTCTTCTGCATGTTTGCCTTACAGATAATAGCAGAGACAGCAGACCACGATGGGTAGATAGCAATAAAAATGTTGCAAGAGCTGGAGTGCAGAAAATCCACAAAAATGTACTACAAGATCCAGCATAATAGATATGCCTGCATATGACACTTGTTAAGATATCATTCGCAATCATCACATATCAGAAGATTTATCAGATTATTATACATGGAATGCATAGAAATCAGTGCAAGAAGATGATCATGTCATCCAGAGAATGACCGAAGAGAATAAACCCAATACCATAGTAACACACTCAATTAATGCCAAATGGAGCATTCTATAACATAAGTTTTCAAAACTCATGAAAATAAAACAGGATAAGTTGGCTCGTATTCAAAACATGACACAATGAATAAGGAAGTGACTATCCGGAGGAGTGCACGTAATCCATGTTTTAACTCCACAACTTGGGCAGGTTCCACAATGGTGGTTAAGTCACATCAATGAGCTAATAAGGGAAAATGAGTTGCCAACTCTAAAAGCAAAGCAGAAAATCCAAGACACCAGGAACTGAGAATCAACCCAAGCACTCTTGTGAACAAAGGTGTGGTCCATTATAAGAAGGGTTCGAGCCTTGGGTCCGGCATTGGATTAGTTAAAATATTCTTACGAAATATGAACCTGGAAATGCCCAGGTGCACTCCACTCTGACCCAGGGTACTAGGACTCTTATCTTTGTAAAGAGAGCTTGTATCTCATAGTGAATGATTAAGACCACCATAGGGTAAATTTATATGCTTAAGCGGCCTTTCCGGTCAATAACAATAAGTTGGGGGTTAGATGCTCTAACATGGCATCAAAACTATGTCTTGGGTGATCAATGGGTCAAACCACTTATGCATTTGAATTTCCTGGTAGGCATATTTGTCTGTTGGTTTGTTAGCCCCACCTGCAAAGCCAAAGTTCCACATGAGGGAGGATGTAAAGAGAGATTGTATCCTGCATCAAATTATTTGAACCATGCAAGTTTAGTCTATATGCTTAAAGAGTCTCTCTGCTCATTGTCAAATGATTTTGGATAGGATGCTTTAACAAGTTTATAAACCCTAAACCAAATAGCTTGGGTAATTTACTAACCCAAAAGCAAGTAAATTGATCAAAAGCATGTTAAACATTAAAATATGGGCTTAAGCTAGTATAGTATGGGAGCAATTCACATGAAAAAAAAAAGAGGCCTTGAAACCAGAGGCTTCCAAGTAGCATCCTCTAATGAAAAGGAAGTCAATAATCTTTGTTCTGAACATCATCATTGTCAGATACAAAATTTATTCAATTCTCCATCTAGCATTCCTTCATCTCTTCGTCTCTTTGCTCAGCAAACCTCGTTGTTTCACCATGCTATATTACTCTTTCAGGTTGGTGAGAAATTTTTGTTGTTGTTAGAGAGAGATTGCTCAATAGACCTCAATATATGCCACAAGGCTAACCAACACTCGTAAAGAGGGCCTAACAAAAAAAAAAACAACCAAATCATACTAAAGAATTATTTCAGCTTATCACCCCCTTCTTAGCACAATACTATATATGTCTATACAACCGCTTGATCTCATGCTTCTCCAATCAATTATAAACTTTTTTTTCAGTAAATAATTGACACCTTTCACATACCACATATTCTAAAGATCCACCTTTGCATTAAACCATAAACCCTAGCCTTCTCTCAAATCCTCTAAAAACTTGAAAGCCTCCAAATACATTATTATTGTTGTCATAAAGCTTCCCTCAAATAACTCCGAGTCTCTGTTTATACTTCTTTTTCCCATACATACTACCACTATAAAAACTACTTGTGTTGAGGAATTGACTTCATAAGATGCAAAATTTGAAGAAGATCACCACCGATACTAGGTCTCGGCCTTTAATATCATACTTTGAGTCTCACCAAGACTATACAATACTTTTGTGGACCATGCATGACAATTAAACACTTGGTTTCTCCTTTACATTTTGTCGGTTTTCTGTTTCCTCAGTATCGTTGGTCGATTTTACACATCAAAAGCAGATATACTGCTTTGTTGTCTGAAAACATATGCTTAATTAGGTTTATGATGTGTTCTATGCAATCCAAGTTTTTTCGCAGTTCAAGTCGAAGATCAAAGCGAAAGATGCAAATCATGTCACCCCTCTCTACAGACTCATTAACATGCAATCAGGCTTTCAAGCCAGCCAACATAATTAGGAGTTGTTGATGTTTATACCAATACATCAAAAAATAGTTCAAAAATAGAAGGTGTTTCAATATGACTGAGTTTTTGGTTGGCAATGTTACAAGTGAAAATCTGATGTCGAGATGCTTAGGGGCTACCAAGGAACATTCATGCACTGTGAAAACCGACTTGGACAGCGATTTTGGGTAATCAGGTTGAATGGTTAGTTTGACAAGCAAATTGGCTTGACTTGGAACTTAATAGTTTGTTTGCTTTGCGAAATCACACAGAAAATTTGTGCACAAGGAGAAGAAGAAGAGAATGGGATGCATCACCCATCTCTAAAAGATTTTCAAAAAGATAGATTTCTTAATTATCGAAAAGAAATGCAATACAGAGCAATATATATCTAGTACTAAAAACTGGAAACCAAGCGATGCTTGTTGTGTAGTAAACTTGCAGCTAAAGCAGTACAACTTCTAAACATTGGATTGGACTCTTAACCAAAAGACTTCAACTCTCATTTGTATATATTAGTCCAACCAAACATGATCCAAATTAAACGAGTAAGCCCATTATGGTAGGTGTCACTGGGATCAATTTTATGCATGAATTTTTTCTGTGATGACACTAAGATCCCATACTTAGTCTCAGCCAGCAACCATCAAGAGGCTCACAGAGATAATTAAACAACAATAGTCTTAGTCTCAGCCAACAACCCTCAAGAGACTCCCAGAGACAATCAATGAAACAATAAGCAGGCACATAGATTCAATGTCCCAACTTCTATTCTTTTCCAGCACAAAGTACAAAAGGAATCCAGTTAAAGGTCTTTACAAAACATCCCCTTCTCTCTTGGGTGATTGTAAATCCTAGCAAATTTGAAGGCATCTATGGCAGTTACAACTAAACTGCCTAGGTTGTGCTGACACCGACCACACTTGGCAAACTAGGTCATTGCAGTTGACATCCCCAACTACTAGGGCATGCTAACACCATTCAGATTTCACGACGAGGGATTAGGGTGGTTCTCCAACAAACCACTAGGTTGCCCGAATCAATCAAAGATGCCCCTTCATTGCTGGAGCAATTGTTCCGTCGTAACCACCACATGAGTCAATCACCAACTGCTTTAAATCACCCGCACAGTCAGCAAATGCTTAGTTTGTCAACCCACATCATCTGACTACTCTTTGCCAGCATGTCAGTCCATGACTAGCCCATGGCTTGGCCTTCCAAGCATGCAAGACGCCACAAACAAGCCACACAGTCATGACTTGCCTTGCTTCATTGCACCCAATCGTGCCCATGATCCATGCATGGGACTTCCAACAGTGACGAGTCCCACGAATGCCTCGGTCCTACATTTCTCATGTCTTGGACTTCACATGTCTTGCCTCGCCCATGACAAGCATTTTTTAGGCCGTGCCTTGTTTTGGCATGTCAAGGCTAGGGAGAATAAAGGTTTCTAGCCGGATGCACCTCGAGGAGCTCCATCCCCCCCCCCCCCCCCAAAAAAAAAAAAAAACCCCACCCCATATCCCCCTCAACCCCACCATATATGCATTATGAAGGAAAACTAAAGTGACAGCTGCTGACATCAGGGTATCTGAGGAATCATAATATCATATTTACCAAACTACCATTACTGCATACATCTGTTAGCATTTAGCCATTTAGAACACTTTCACCACCTAGACCAACGCAACCAAGTCCTTTAGGAGCTGTCCAGCACATTGGGAGTGCTTAGCCAAGCACACCCCTACCTTGACTTCGGCACGGGACACCATTGGGAAAGCCAACTGCATGCCTCAATCGTGTCAGCTTGTTAAAAGGCTAACAAACCACCCTCATTAAAAGAACTCAACATCCTCAACGAGAGGTTGTCCCAATACTCCTTCATGTTGTTTTCAAACTAAAGAATCACCTCTCTTTCCCAACTAGCGTCTGCCTCAGAGCCACCTTTTCAATGAAGTGAAAATATCAGTCATGCGATTCTTCTTGCTTCAAGCCTCGCACTTGTGTGATAACATCTTTTTGGCCTCTTTGTCAAACTGTTTCCTAATCACTAGTGAAGGCATCTTAGCTTGTCTCCGTCCAGTATTCAGGAAGTCTTCATGATAAGACTTCAGAAAATTCACATGGAAAGTTGGGTAACTTTTCAAATGATCTAGCACCTTCCAGCAATAGGTAACGTTCCCAACCCGCTCCATCACTTGAAATTATCGCCGCATCCTTTTTAGTCAAGGTATCAAGATGGGACTGAAACATCAATCCTCTCCAAATCATCAAACTTTTTAGGAATGAAAAAATCAATTATCTACATAGTTAAAAGAATCGCCCGGGTCTAATACAGCTCCGTCAAGTCACCATTTCACATTCCATGTAAACCACAAGTTCAATGAGACTCGTGGTTAACTCAAAGACCTTTCGATCAACTCAACGAAGTCGTATGGGTCATCATCAGTGACTCCTAATACATTCCCTGAAACCATTCCTCAAATTGGCCTGACATCTAGAATTTTGCGTGTGTAGCCCGATACAATTCTGCAGTGCCTCCACCAATGTGTCTTAGCGTCCTTTGAATCAATTACCAATACCGCAACCTTGAACCAAGATTATTAGGATAACAACAATATCCTTGTGTTGCTGTAGAACTTGAATAGCATGCTCACTTGTATCAATTTCAAGTGGCACCACAACATTTGTTATGTGTACATTATGAGACTATTCCTCTGCCGCATTTCTTTTTCACATTATCTTGTGATTTGACCTGTACTTCTATAAAGACAATAGGTAGAGCTACTTGTGGTGTCTTTGGTTCATATTCTGCTAGAGCTTCTTTTTTCAAAAGAAATAGCACTAATGAATAAACAAAATAAAACACTACAAAAGCATAACCAAATCAAGGACGAACAAGACTTCCAACATAATGATATGTCAAACTAA